AGCATCTGCAAAATCCCACATTAGAGATCACTTGAATAAGTTATAGAAGCAAGAGGAATGGTATTATCAGTCCTCATATACCGAGCAGTCATTCATTCTATGGTCATTCTAGACCATAGAAAAAACTTGCCAAGAGCAATCAATAGCACGGTCATCTCATATGTCACACATTGAGAAGCAGCCTGCTGCTGTGAGATCTTTGATCATAGCAGACATGCAATCATATGTGATAAATAAGGGTTTTGTGATCCCAAATAAAGTCTTCCCTTTTAAAATTCTGCTAGAATTCTTAATTCACATGTAAACATGCAGCATCAGTCTTCAGTCAGGTGCAAACAGCAAGATGATGAAGCTTAGAAAAAAGGCTGAGTACATGCTGTGATATCCAGGCCTTCCCTCTCATGCAAAAGAAACTTTTTGATTTTAGAGCTCAGATGTTATCAGTTTTAACAACTGCATGTTTATTTCAAGACATCCTTAGCAAAATATACAGCGAGTATTGATTTTCTTAACATATGCTATGTGTCCTGCAGAGTGCTGAGGCTGTTGTGATTCTGATTATGGAGACTTACAACTTCAAATTCACAAAGACAATAAAATGACAAATTTTATATCTCTCTTTAATATACATTAAATGTCTTTGAGACAATTATTAGCTTGCAAAAGTGCTAGAAGGTCAAAGGCCCATGGTAGTCCCCCCCCAAGACAGTATAGTGTTATATAAAGAGGTTTGTAATGTAGACTTAGGAAAAAGGTAAGGGCAAATCCTTTCCTAAACAGGGGAACTACGAGATGTTTACAGAAAAAGATAGAATACATATAAGTCAGGGGAAAAGCTATATTGAATTATCTATCATCACTCTTCTACAAAAAGAGCTTTTGGTATCAGCTAATAAACAAACCTTAGCTAGTTAGACGGATATATACAGTGGGATAATCATCAAAAGTATGCATCCACAATGCCAGGGGTAGAATTATTGTTGTGTCATTAACCTCTTACAGAGGTTGCCAGAAAACTGTGAGTTAGATAATATTTTCTGATCCCCAAACATAAATGCAGTATTCTGTAGATTACATAAATTAGACAGAGCCATAGCTTGCTTGAATAGATGTTCGAAACCTGAGTTATACAGCTCTCTCATCATATAGCTATTTTTCCTCCTGCATTGTTTTGCAGTATATGATGGACTTCTAGCAGAATACATCCATCCTGGACTCTCCAGAGACAGAAAATCTTTGGGGGAAATGAGATATGGAAGGACTGTCTGTTCATATTCTCCAGTCATCATGAGCACTAGAGCCAGCTGGCACAGAGGAAAATTGAGCAAGCCTACAAAAAAAGCTCTTATGTGGCTAAGATGCTAAAAAACACCTTTTTGGGGGGAGGCATGGATAGAGAAGCTCATCGTCCTGATTACCAAGCAACTCTAATTGAGCTGAATGTGTTGCTTCATGCTTCCAAATATATTTTCCCTCTTCCATTTAAACAGCAAACTAGTTTTAGCTACAGGCAGGAGTTAAAAAGCAAAACTTGCCTCTATCCGTTTGCTCTTTTTTGAAAATATTTGTGGCAAGTATGTTATTTTAGCTTGTTGTTGAAGAATATACTTGATTACCCTTGAAATATGGCATTTTGGCATTTTCTATTTCAAAAGATCTCAGGTTCCTCTGCAGCAATCTTAACTTCATACTATGCAATTTAGTTCAAACTTTTTTTCCTGTGGACTTTCAACAAATTTGATATTACAACAGAATACCCAAATGCTAGTGAAAAAAATTTTTATATTTTACTGTTAGCATGCATGTTTTTAACGTCTACCTCTCATACACTCATCTCTCTAATAATGAGAGAAAAATTTTAACTGAAATGATTGCATAACTTCCAAGTATAATAGAAGCATGGAATATGTTCCTCTAATTTTTTCTGCATATATCCAATGGTCTAATGAAATCACTTGAACACCTCCCCAGGACATAATGTAAAGCCCAGTGGGGATATTTGCATCTCTTTATCTGCTAACCTCCACTTATCTATTTTGTATATCTGTTCATATTGTTATCACTGACAAGCTGTTAAAGCCAGAATCATCTGATAAGACATCAGAGAATGTGAATGCTTCTAACATGACCATTTTAGACTGTTACACATAATATAGACCCCAGAAGATCTCAACACCTTCAACAGCATGGTTTAGAGTGAAAATCTTAATGCCTATCATCCTGTCTATTACTGTTAAATTCTGCCTTTAGCCATGTGACTGTAAGTACAGTTCAGTAGCATTTATATCAGGCAATTTTGTGAAGTCTTGTGTGTTCTCAAGCAATGCAGGATACACAAAAAGGCTGATGATGCTAGAAGGCTTGAATGTTTGCTTATACAATGTGAGACAAATTAAGACCAAGAATATGCACTGATAACTTCTTAAAAAGTTTCTTAAAGATTGGCAAGTCTAGTTTCTCTACTCCTTTTGAATGTCCTACCTCTTCAACAGTCATTACTTCCATTAATTAATTCATATTGATGTTGCACAAACTGAAAAAAGTCCTTGATATACAGAACTTAAAATTGAAATACAATACTGAATATCACTACAGCATGGTCATCATCCACTAAAAGGAAATCCAGTGAGTACAGAGACTGTTCCTTTACCCTTACAAATGTATTTTTCTCCCTGATTTTCCTATTTCTAATAAACTCAGATCCAGTAACAGAGAGAAAAACTTAACTTCAGAGATGTGGTAAAATGATCTGTCAAAGGCTCCTAACCTAGACTTCTAATCATCTTACTCGTTAAGTACTTGTCATTTAAAAGAAGATGTTACATAGCATTCCCTCTATTTCTGGCAACAGGTGGAAAGTTAACAAACCACCTGAGAGAAAAAGCTATTCTGCGGAATAGAAGATGTAGTCTCAAATATATGTAGTTAACTGCCTGAGAAGCAACATTCAAGTATCCAGTAAGAATTAGTATAGCCTTTAAATATAAGAACAGTTTGATTTATTGTGCTGTGGAAAAACCATTTTACCCTCACTCCTGGCTGCACTGTAGGTATGCAAGAAACAGAAAGTTAAAATTGCCATTGATGTTAATACTACTCAAGTTTCCTGATTCCTGGTGGAATATCAAATTCCTGATGGAACTCCTCTGTAAATGCTCTGTTCTCCCAGTCTTGCTCATCCTTTGAGAGAAACAGCTACTTATCAGACAAAGATTTTATGGCTGCTGAGACATAGGATCATACACCTATATTAATCCTGTTTGAATTTTTGCTTGATACTTCATTGGGGAAAAAATCAACATCAAAATTATATCTGCCTTTGGCTCCATTATGAATGTTATTCTTTCTCATGGGTTTTATTGTTGACCTTGAGATAAGTACATACTCTGTGATCATATTTGAGACATAACTCCTTGCACTCTGTGAAGGGCAAGGTCACACAGATGTTTAGTTGATTAACATTCCATCTTGATATTTTTACTTCTTAATTTTGTGTTTTGTTTACAATGCAATAAAATCTGAAACTCAGCTGCTGAGTAACAATGCTTCTCTTCGTGTACAAGAAAGACAAATGGATTAGCATCAGAAAAACTATCAGTGATCTGTTGATTTTTCCATTCTCCAATTTATCATATAGTAGAGGAAATATTACAACTAATCTATTAAAAGAATGAAGATGTAAGAAGCTGAGATGAAATACTCAGAGGGGCTATGACTTGTTATTTTTCCCCCCAGAAAATGTTTAATAATTACAATTTGTGTAACTTTCCATTTAGTGGACTTGAGCTAAACACAATTGTATATAATTCACATATATACATGTGTATTTGAACTAGAACATTAGTTAAGAAATATTTTCTGCCAAATTTCTGCCTGACAATTTTCCACTCTCTCCATTTGAAAGCACTTTGGCACTGTTAATCTTGTGACTGCTTCTGTGTGCTGGCAACTATCCTGATTAAAATCACATTTGAGAGCTTCTAAGCCTAAAACTTTGATTCTCACTGTGAGTTGCAAGAAGGAATACACACTAGTGTTGAAACACAAGAAAAGTTTAATAGTGTGGCTAGCCTAATATAAGAATGCATAAGGTGAAGCTCACTTGGGCTCTCCAAATATTTGTGATAAAAGGGATATATTTAATGTCAGTAAAAAATTCAGAGTTCTCATCTACAAAGCAACAAAATTAAGAGTGGAAAAAAATTGTATAGACACAGACTCTGAAGTTCCTGCATTCTTTTTATTCAACACCTGAATCACGTAGAACAGGATTATAAGAAATTTTAGCAGATACTTACACTCACGTTCTGGCAGGCTTAGACCTGAAGGAGACGCTTCTGTACAAGAGACTAGGCCACAGTTTTCCTATAATTTTTCAGTAGTTTTACAGTCATCGAAAGGAATATCATAGAGTACTGAGAAGCTGGGAAAGATGACAACCCACGAATCAAACTTTTTCCCCTTAACTTTCATCCATTTTTTAAAATTTCCAGAAAAAGAATTGAAATAAAGCAGGATCTCTTTTCCAATTGATTACACTAGTGGTCTTTAAAAAGATTTGTTTTTCATTAGGTACACAACCCAGATTTGCGGACAACAGAGACTGATCAATAAGACTGGAATAAAGTTTCTACAGATAGGAGAATTTGTATCAACCTTTTTCTGGAATCATTCCTATCTGTCTCACTCAAGGAAAGCAGAAAATGGTATCATTAAATTCCTCTTACGATTTTGTCCATAGAGACAAAATATGTACTATTATTTTTATTCTACTGTTTCTGTTTCACTATTTTTTTTTCCTTGGTCCATGTATGGGAACTGCTGAGTCACGGCCTGAACCTCTGACTGATCACCTGAAGCAAGCAATGAATCAGCCATGGGAGCAGAGGTGAAGGCAATTCACCTGTGCTGCCGGAAGGGGTAGAGCCTGGCTCCACCTCTCCTAGACCCATTTAAGAGCTGACTACCAGTGGGGAAGGTTCTCTTCTGGAGATTCTTCTGCTGGAGTTTCATAAGCAAGCCCAGGATATGGGTAAGCATCCTATCTATTCTCTTTTTGTTATTATAACCTGCTTTGCCTAACTCTCTTGTTTATTTCATAATTATAACATCTTAATATTCATTGATTATACAGTTCACCTGCCGTAATAAACTGTTTTGTGACAAAAGATTAAGGATTTCATTAACTGCAGAAGAAATCCAAAATATCTCAAATACTAAGTATACTTTTTTTTTCCTTTAATAACAATTTTCCTTTAATAAGAACTGTCCAGTAATTCTTTCCACTATTGCTCAAGCTCTAGTAAAATAAACTTAAGAAGCTATCGTTGTTAACTTTCTGCTCTCATAACCATGTTTATGCTATAGGTTTGAACACTATCTATAATAAGAACAAAGACTTCAAGTATTCCATTCATACCCTAATTCTGGACTAACATAAAGGCTTAAGTAATGATGTAAAAAATGTAAGCTTTACTTTTTTCTCCCTCACCCAAAAATATTACTACAGCTAGTCTGACACTTCTAGAATCCACAGGAAACCAAGAGCCAGGAAATAACATTTAAAATGCTCTTCAATCTTAAATCAAATATAAGCTAGAAATCTCAAAAACAGTAAAGTCTTCAAAGCAGACAAGAACTTCAAATACAGATCTTCAAATATAATTTCCAAACAATTTTGTTCATATTACACCCCCCCACCCCCATTAACTCCCATTGTGTATAGTATAATTACATAGTTACCTTCAGGGGGCACTGGAAAAACAACCAGATGAAGACATTTTCTTTCCTCATTTCTCTGGCAATTGTGCTGGTGTGCACAGTATTTATAGCACATGATGCCTCCTGGAAGTAGGTGACAAAAGTTAGAAAATCAAATTACTGAAAGAATTTGAGGTACAGAAGTATGCGCTTGCATGTACCTGAAATGTTTACTGCTTTAGAAAACAGGTAGCAGTAGAATCTAAACAAGTACAGACTGGTTAGAACGTTCTCTTAATCTTAAGGATTGAGCATAACTGCATAGTGTAAGAAGGGCACAGTCTGGCAGTTAGTACTGAAGTGGAAAAATGATATAAAGCATTGGTTGAGCTTGAAGTGAGCAGATAGTATCGTGTGCAAAGGTAGAAACAATTAAGTTGAAAGAAAGTTTTATTCATACCACAGGCATCAACAATCAATCTTCTTTCTTCCCTACATAATACATCAATATTCACAAACAATTTAACAGATTCTCTAAATCAGATGGGCTTTCCTTTCTTTAGACTTTTTTATTATGCATACTGTCTGATATTTAGTCTTTCTATCTAAATCAACAGTTCAGAGTAGCATGAGAAATTTTTACCCCATTGATTTCCCATAGTCTGAAATGCCATATCAGTTCAAGCTAAAGAAACTAATAGGATATGAACAATAATCAGAGAGAATTATGCCCCCAATTGCATATAAGAGGTTGAAACTTTTACCTTCAGGTTCTTGTGATATTATAAACTGAAAGCAAAGTAAAGTTGCTTAACATCTAAGAATATCAAATAATTTGTTTATTGATAAAATCAGCATGCTTAAACATGTTTGTGTATAAAACAGGTACAAATAAAACAAGCTCTAGTTTACTAGCATCACTTCAATCTCCTAATGTTTGACATTATAGTTTTCATCTGGTGCTGCTATTCTTTCTTCTTAGACAAAATTGCAGGTGATAGAGTGGGATAGAGAAGATGTATGTCTTTTTGATACGCACTAATATTCTGACTCAGCATATATACACCAAGGCTATGACCTCCCTTTGACAGTGTCTAAAAGAAAAAAGTATTCATTCATAACACATCTATTAACAACGGAGTGCTTCTCTGGGACATAGCTCCAGCTCATTATTTGTCGTGTAAAGCAGAGTTCACCAGCGTACAAGAGGAACTGGCTAAAAAGAACATGCCCATGCTATAACCTTAATTCATATTCAAGGTTACACACAAGTCTGTATCTCTTACTCATCTTGGACAGGAGAGATTTAAGAAAAAAAAGCAAATCTAGTTTTGCCTTCCTTTATAAACAAAGAATAGTAATTGCTATTTTTTGCGGTGGTGGTCTTGCCTTTACCATTTTAAGTGTTGCACTGAAAAAATAAATTCTTCGTAGCTTTCCCCAGGACAAATTCACACTGCTTTTTGTTCAATTAAAGTCTAAGCTGTTTGTTCCAGTGGAAAGCATTGTTTCAATTTTTTTTTGTTTACATATATTCTTGTTTTGATGCTCTCACTATATGCTTCAGAATGAAGGAGTAATTGTTACACTGTAATTCAACATCATATAGACAGTTACTGACTGTAAAAGCTGCAAGTCAATATTCAACTCTAGTACATATGCCAGGTAATACAAATGAGCATATACATAAGCATATGTGAAGATATATCCACTGCAATATGAACTTTCAAACCAATGAACTAAGCAGAGCAATTCACCAAAAGCAGAATAAGCCCCAGCATTTTCCTCAGATTCCAATGGCCCTAACTGATGAAAACAAGATGGAAGTAGCTGTAAATATGAGGCTTTATTACTATAACTGAATTCTGCATGATCTGATCTCCAATCCTATGCTGAATTGATTCTGTTGTACTTTAAGTAATATTTACTTATTGACGTTGTGCCAGAGTAAAGCACTGAATGCATTTAAATTTGTGAACATCGTTTGATTACATTTTACTGTAAATAATAGCATCAAAAGCATAAAAATTAGATGAGGTTATCCTGCAGGCATGAGACAACAAGCAGATTAGGAACCCTTGAAATGTTCAATGTTTACATACCTTGGCATATTCACACTACAGAAGAGAAACTGAATGAGAAATAGTATTAAAACTGACTCAGTTAACTTTGACACGCACACTAACGTTTTCTGAGAGCAGCAAGAAGAACAGTTAACTTAATTGTCAGTGTCAGAAAGCAATTCATTTGTTCCTGTACTGATCCACACTTGACAAGAGTTAATTTTCCAGTGTAGTAGTCTGTCCACTACTATGTTTTAGATTTGTGACACAAACAGTGGGTAACACTGACTTATTTATTGCTAGACAGTACTTACTGAGCCAAGGTACTCTGCATCTCACACTACTCCACCAGCAGCAAAACTGGGGGTGTAAAAGAAGTAGAGAGGGAACGCAGACAGGACAGCAGACACCAATGTACTAAAGGAATACTCCAGGCCACATGATGTAACATTCAACAGTGAGAGCCAGCAGAATAAAGAGGAATGGGATGTCCATAGTATAAGTGAAACAGGCATGTAAAAGTATAGTGTTAGACTATAGTTCTGTGGTTTTCCATCTTCAATAAAGAGGCATCTTTTCTAGAATGGTATAATATATATGAAGCCAACTCAAAAAAGAATAGAGAGAACTGCCTTAGGAGTCTTTTCTGATATATTTCACTGAGCTTAAAGAACTCAAACTACTGAATTGAGCACATGAAGAGATTATTGTAAAGGTGTCTAGGAAAAAAAAATGAATTAATTAAATGATAGCTTATTTTTTTAAGCGTCAATAAACGATCAATACAACATCACCAGAATAAATCAAACTGTGTTCTTTCCAATTAAAGCTGCTCTGCAGTATATTTATTATGCTCTAATACATCACTGCAGCATGCTGCTAGAACAAGGAAGAGAGAAGTCTGCCCTAGAAACATCTTATGGGTGCTTAATTAGTTTCTACTCAGAGCCATACTTGAATTAGTTAAATTTAAGGAAAGAAAGGGCAGTCTTGTCATGCATGTCACTCTACGGGTGGTATATCTATTAATACACTTTTTTTTCCATGTATTTCAGCACTTTCTGAGGTGTCCTAACTGATAAAGTCTACAGCAACAGAGTAGGTCTGAAGTCAAGATAGAAATCAGTCTTGTAGGTCAGATTCTGGATCACTGACATTCATCCGTGATCAGATAGAGGAATGGCTGTGAGCTGGAGATAGGTATGCCTACAGCATATTTGAACAAAAGAATGAATGCCCAAGCACGAGCTTAAATAGGCCATGAGGAGAGGGTGTGGTATTTGTCTCTTAATAAGTGAGGCTCTTCATGGCCACTGATATCTATTAGAGCACTCAAAGCCCTGACAGGAAGAATATCCAATTGCTCATAAGATTTCATCTTCAGAACAGACTGGAAATTTGAAATTTATATTGCATCACATATTGATGCTTCATATTGGTATTGCTCCTAGTAAAGTGGAACATGAAATACAACTATATCTATGTGGTAGGAAAAGATAAAAATAGGAATTTAATGCTACATCATGTGTTTTTCTATATAATGCAGTACCCTGCTTTTCACAACACTTAGTATCAATTACTTTCAGTACATAAAATATCTCATCTGATGTTTATGTCACAAAGTGTGCCACTTACTACAAGTGTACTGCCACAGTGGTGCAAACACTAAGTGTAATGCTGAATTTCCTACTAGTTTTTTTTTAAGAACTAGAATATGTAATGAGTGATAGTACTTCAATCAGATCAGAATCTATCCTGAAACCAGTACTGATAAATAGTCTTCTTGCAAGGCTTAATACATGTGTGATAGGACTTATATGTCCTTGTTATTCTATTTTTGTATCTTGCTGAACCCTTTCCTAGCCCTGAAGCATTTCTAAAAACGTGGCTCAAATGTGGTACTGCTACTAGGAACATGTATGTATGTAATGAATCATTCAAGTGAGGCATGTAGTAGTACATGGTAGAGCCATATGAAAAAGTTGTTGTTTTACACTGCAACCAGTTCTTCTACAGCTATAGGTTTCTAACTAGCAACTTGTTCAGTGACACAACAAAATATCATGTTCCTCTTTCTCATATGCATGATGTTGTTTCCTATGATAACAACGTACAGGAAGACATAAGATTCATTAACACTGTTTGTACTTCAAAATGATGCTACGTTATTAACTATTGCATGATCTTGGTAGTGTTAGGAAAAATCTTTTGCTATTTCAGAGTAAGATGACTAATTACACAATCAATTTACTTTAAAAAAGACTAGGAAATAGTTGATTGCAATGCTATTATTAAAAATTAAAAATGATTAGAAAGCAAATTTTATTTTAACTTTATAAATTTGCATGCTTTGAGGAGTTAATAGCTTTGTTTAAACATCCATGTTTAGGATGAGAGATGCACAGTTTGATCTGGATGGAGGTAGAGTTGCACTGATACAACTCTATCTAAGTGTCAGAAGTATAAGGAGCAAAAATTGGGGGGAAAAAAAAGACAAAAGCTTCCAGCTCCTGAGACTCTAATGTGCCTTACAGTGTTTCTGCAAAACAATTGTCAGCATGTCCAGTGGATTGAAAACTTCTAAATTTGGGTGGAAATACAATCCTATTTCCAGTCTAATGGAAATTGGAAACACTGAAGAGATTGTCTAGGCTGAATTCAATGAATGTCTTTCACAGCATGAGAGAATCCTCAGGAACGGAGACTGAACTTCTCAAAAAGCAAGAAAGAAAAAGGACTGTCACTCTCTGAATTCTTATCTGACAAAGAAATTCTGTATATTTGAAATGAAACAACAGCTCCTAAAAATATTTTTTTCCCTTGGTCAAAAGAACTCCATAGAATCTTTTGTTACTACACAGTGGAGTACCACAACAATGCCTATCATTTTTTCACTTTGGCCTGAGTTTTTTCTCTCAATGTGAAATAATACAGGACAGCAGTTGGCTCATTTCATCCAGGCTGTCCTGCAGTTGCCTTTTGATTCTCATTTTACTGGCTATGCAGAAAAGATGCCTTTCAAAACCTTAATTGCCAGAGACTGTTGTGAAATATTCACCAAGATTTACTGCTTTCCCATTGCGTCGTACCTTCACAGCAAAGTGACCCTGGTGGTTAGGAAGCATATTGTATAAATGGCAATTTAACGAGGGTTTGGAGACTATGAGGTCTCCAAAGAACACTTCATTTTGAAATTTTCTTGTTATGGAGTATTTAATGGAGAAAAAAATCCTGCCAAGAATTCCAATGAAGATAATCTGGATCCCTGGCCAGACGTGCTGGGGAAAAATGGCATGAAACTCCTATGTAATATTAATAAACACAGTAAATTACAGATCCATTAAGTCCAATATTGCAGTTTCTCTAACATGAAGGAGAAGCTGAAAGTTTTTTTTTTTAAAAAAAAAAGTAGTCTCATTTGCTGAAATGTAAACAGGCCTGTGTATACTGCAAGTTGTTGACAGGACAATTAATCATAGTATTGATATTCATGGTAAGAATAACAGTCCAGAACCTGACAAGTTTGCTGGTAGCTTTCCTGTTTTGAAGAATGCCTGAATGAATAATATATGATAGACTTATTACATATTTTAATGCAAGTATTTTAAAGTTCAATTTCTGCTAATACTTTACTGTAGTCTTTGTATAAGAAAGTTAACTGCCTTATTCACTTTATTGCTTGTTAACTTTGGAAAAAAAAAATATTGACCAATTAGATGTCAATATTAGGTTTTTCATTACTGATCACTTTGGGGATGAACTTGCTTTACCATGCTGAGGTCCAATTTTGTGCAGATTCCCACTTTGCTGAGCTGTTGAACTTCTGTGCACCTTTCAGAAAACTGCTGTGGATGAACCTCAGCAGGCAGCTCACCACCATACAGCTGCTCAATGACTTGTGTGCTCCTGTTCTCCCTGCTGGCAGGGCAGTGTAAGAAATAGAAAACTCACTGGCTCAGTGTAGCACAGCTCAGCAATAGCTAAATCATCAGTGTGTTACCAGCACTGTCTTTGGTCACAAATCCAAAACAGAGCAGCAAATAGGCTACTAGGCTGAAAACTAGCTGTCCTAGCCAATGCTAGTACACTTCCCTAATTTATGGAGATGTTAAACTTCCATGCTTCTTTTCAAAGTCTTGATTCCTCCTTTCTATTGTATTTTTTTTTATTTCAAGCAAAACTTTATAAACAAAACCAACCCTATTTACTGGTATAGAATCATAGCCTTATCCATCTACAATTGAGAAGTCTATGTGAGCTTTTGCAAATTAAGGGGATGATGTTACACTAAGTAAATATTTATGCAGACAAACTCTGAATATAATGGAGTTTGTAATAGCAGCACATGACCATTAGCAACCCAGAAACCATTCTGAAGACAATAGCTGTGAGACTAAAATGTGGAAACATCATTTATAAGGTTAAATAACAAAATTATATGTAAAATGCAAAATAGCGTGTATGAAATCAAGGCAGTTTTTGCAGATAGGTTTTTGGCCTATGATGCTATTAGTCATCAAGACCTGAAGAAACAGATGTGACCCTTACAATTCCTAATGGATCTTTAGACTAAATCAGATGATTTACAGAGTCTTTTCATTCTGTTCTTCAGATGGTGACGACTGAGGATTCAAGCAAGCATCACCAGAGGTAAGAACTTAACTGGGCCCAGAAGGAGGGAATGCTATCACCAAATCAAAGTGTGCAGTAGATTTCTTTTTAAAAACTGCTGTTGTCTCTTTCAGCTACTGGACAACAAGTGTGTGAGACTTGCAAATGCCTAGGCACTTCTGTCTTATACCAAAACTGCTTGCCAGACTGAAACCATAAAATTAAAACTGGAAGGTTCAACAACAAAGCAATCATCAGTTCATAAGGGTGGCTACCAACCAGGAAATGTATGACTTTTCGAAACGTCACGCATGGAGTGATAGCACAGACTTTGTTTCCCCCAGATCTCCTATATGGTCTCCAACTCAACACACAAACACCAGGAAACAAGACCTGATGATCTTCTGCTTCTCTTCTGCTTTCCTGGTTGAAGTAGCAATTACACATCCCTTCCCAAGCAACCTTTTTGCTGTCTTTCATCCTCGTGGCTCCCTTGTTTTGGCACCTCTGCAGATTCATAGTGTGGCACAGAACTTCCCTTTCCTGGGAAGAGCTGTAAGGATGCCATGCAGGATGGCAGAGCGGACTGCTGGCTGCCTGCTCGCAGCACAGGAGGTTCAGCTGCTCCCCGTCGTACCTCAACGCGGCCAGCAGCCTGTGCCTGCAGTGGGGACGTGGGGCAGACATCACCCATCTGTATTCAAACACCATGGAGGTACCACGCAGGTAAGAATAAGGCCAGAAAGCTTATATGCAACACTCCTGCTCCACAGAAGCGTTGTCTGCTCAGCTAGCCAACAGCTCTTACCTGGCATAGGGGAGAGGTGACCGGACCACGAGGAAAGCCAGGAGCAGCTTTCCCTTCACACAGCCGCTGCCCTATATGAAGCGGGCTCTCAGGACGTCTCAGATAGGACAACACCTCCTTGAGGCTCCTCTGCGCTGCCCTCGGGCTACGGGCATTCGGGAACAACTCGGACACGATCGCCCCCGTGCCGGCAGCCGCCCGCGGGAGAAAAAAAGTGAGCCCGGCGTCGAGGGAAAGAAGCACCGCCACCGAGGTGCAGCGAGACGGAGCGGCCGCCGGGATTGGCTGGCTGGGCGGGAGGCGCGTGCGGGAGGCGCGTGCGGGAGGCGCGTGCGGGAGGCGCGTGCGGGAGGCGCGTGCGCGAGGCGGTTGGCGCAGCGCGAGGCGGTTGGCGCGGCGCGTGCGGGCTGAGGTGCGTGCGGGAGGCGGTTGGCGCAGCGCGTGCGGGCTGATGCGCGTGCGGGAGGCGGTTGGCGCAGCGCGTGCGGGCTGATGCGCGTGCGGGAGGCGGTTGGCGCAGCGCGTGCGGGCTGAGGCGACGCGCGTTGTTGAGTTCCTCGCGGAGCGGCGTTGCGCGTGTGGTCATCGGCCTGTGCGTTGACCGGGCTGGGAGGTTTTACGTGAAGGAGAAAGCTGGAAAAAAAAGGGAAAAAAAGTCGTCGTATGCGGTTAGTCAGCTACCCGGCAGGCGTCGCAAGCAGGCTTTCTGAGGAGCGAGGACTACTCAGTAGGCTAACGGGCTTACTGACCAGCGAAAGGACTTCGTATATGCCAGGTAATGGGTACTGTAAAATAAGGAGGAATGTGGGGACAAAAACCAGAACAGGTGTGTCTAGAGGCACAGCGAGGCAAGGCAGGCTTTCACACATCTGTTTTAGAAGCAGCACAGGTCAGGGTGAATTTCAAATGGCTGAACACCAATATGTGAAGCATATGAAACAAAAGGAAGGAATTGTAAGGCACAGCTGCTGGCCTGTGACTAAAAGTGGGTTACATCTGTCAGGACTCAGACTGTATCTTTAATGACCCAGATGATGGGCTGAAGTATATCTTTGTTGAGTTTGTGTGTGACTTAAAAGAGACTATTCTGAGCAGACTGGAGAAATGATCTGTCAGGAGCTTCACAAAGTTCAGTCAAAGCAAATCTGAAGTCCTGCTACCAGATTGAAAAAATCCTTGTTCAGGATGAGGCTGATGGAATAGAGAAAAGGACTTGAGTACCCTGGTGGACAGCTGAATACAAGCTGGCAATACATCCTGGCAGCAAAGAGCCAAGCCAAGGGAGGTGATCCTTCCATTCAGTAGTCCAGAAGACTACCTCAGAAGTGCTGCATCTAGTTTTGGGTTCCCGGAGCCACCGTGCAACATTGTATTCATCAATACACCACCAACAGCTGCATGTGTTTCTTCTTCAGGGATATTTCTGAAAGAGGAAGCTTATTAATTAATATCCTGTAACTAACACTGACCTTGATCATAGGAGGGCAAGGCTGGCTTAGTAGAGACCTGATAAGATGTCACACAGGGCATGCAGCAGTGGCAACTGGAGGAGCAGCCTGTTGTCTCCAGGACCACTGAGCAGCATTTGGCTCCATATGGCTGTTTTTCAAGCTTGATGGTACAGACACGTGGCACACGAGGGCAGACAGATGGTAAGTGGGGCGTGCTTACGGGTGTTTGCATTGAGTAGGCACAATAGTTTCTGGAATATGTTCTTTGCCAGTAATGTGCCGAGTGCTGTCTGAATCAATTTTATAAGGGACTGGCCATCCCCTGAGCAGCATGGATGCACGCTGCTCTGGACTAATTGGCTGGAGAAGACAACAATTATTCCTTGAATAATCGTCACAAGAACAGTATAGATATAGTCAAAACAAAGCAAAAATGTTTCCTTTAGATAAATCTCAGCCTGAGCCATATTGTTCTTTTATCTCTGTTACATAAAAAAAAAAAAAAAGCATTTTGGAATTTCACATTTTTCTGGTATTTTATCATTTATGATGGTATTATGCTATATAGATGTGGTGATTTGTTTTTTTTTTTTTCCACTGTTCTTTTAATTTCAAAAAATGTCTTGATTTTTTAATTAATTTGATTAACTCTTTAGTTCCAATCTCCAGCTTGGATCTAAATATTTTTCGTTTATTTTTCATATTATCATCAATGAGAAAAAAAAAAGTTGACCTGATTTGAATTCCCTCTTACTCCATTATATCAGTAGTTACTGTGATTTGGTGACCAAAGCTTTTATTAATATCACATTCAATTTCAGTGATGCATTTAATCCAGATTTAAATAAAAATTCAGTAGTAAAAATACAACTTGTATGTGAAATATCTTTCCTTTAGAAACTAGCATATGGATTTGAATTCCACTTTTGTAATCACAAGTGAGTGGAAGACATGGAAAACATGCATATACATATATGCGCACACATGCTCACGTTCTGGCAAATTAGTCTATCTACTGTTACTTTAGTGAATTTAGCTCAATTTTAGTTTCTCCCTACCTCTGTGGAATAGAAATTAATAGAAATTCAAGACTACTTGAATGATGCAGAATTTGTACTAGATAAATTTTGATATCTCTATTTTGATAATACTATTAATGTCATGTCCAGGGAGGTGCTTATCTAAAAAAGACATGTTACTTATGAGCCCTCATGGACTTTCTGCCATTATCAGTAATTACATTAATTATAGTGGGCTTCTTTTATTCTGATTACTTTTTTTTTTTTTTTAAGAGATCTAGTGGAAGTCCATAACACAAGACCAAATAATATCTTCATTAGAGATTATTTTCTGTGATAGTTTTGTGATTGGTAGGGTCTAGTAGAAAAATATTAAATGAATTTTAAGATTGAGGATTTTCTTGCTTGGTACAAGCAGGGGAGCTTCTTTCTGCTCTTATCTTAACTGTGGTTAGAAGAACATCACATTCAATATTCATTTTCTTCAGATTCTTACATTATCAAGGTATTAGACCTCCTTGAAATAAATACCATTGTCAAAAAGAACATGTGTGACTATGCATGATGCTACCGTCTACTGCAGGCAAGAGGAGGAGGATTCAGGATTTGGCCAACTTTTATTTTTCTTAAATATATTTTCCTGTCAAAATTTGTACACTTATTCCTGCTACTGAGCAAAATATTTGAGGTAAATAAAAATGTTGTAATCTTATGATGAATATTGATGTACAGAACATTGCCCTGGAATTCAAGAGAGGATTTTCTTTCTAGCTCTGCCACTTAATATTCTTGCCATTCTTGAAAATCTTGGGTATTATTCTAACAAGTCTGTGCCTCAGTTTAGTCAAAGGAAAAATAGGGCACTTCTTTTGGGATATAGTTTGAGCTCTGCAAATAAAGATTACTAAGGTTGTGTCTTGTTTTAAAAAGTAATAAATATTACTTACATCACACAAGATAGAAATTATCCATGAAAGAAAGCAGCTACTAATTAAGTGAAGGATAATAACTGCAGCATCACTTGGTAACCCTGTGAATGCTTCAAACTAGGAATTAAGGAATTAAACTGTTGAGGGAACTTCGGGAGACAAAATGTTATTTATTTGTAGTTTTATTATGATTAACAAGGCAAACCCATCTTCCTAAACTATGAGAAAGTTTTTGACTTGGGAACAGAGCAGAAATGCTAGTTAGCTGAATTGTGCTGTACTAGTATCAGTAGTTCTATTTAAATGGTGGAGATTTATTTTGTACAAGAACAAAACAGTTCACTGATAATAACAGAATATTACTCTGTAATAGTTAGGACAGGCTTCTTAAAGGACCTCCATCCTTCTCTATGCATTCTTGGATATCATATAAGCTCATGCACATTGAAGGAGAGCTCAAATCTAATTGCAAGCTCTACAAAATGATTTCTTTGTTATAGGAGATTCTTCAAGCTTTTTTTTTTTTTTTAACTGCTTTTTGTATAGCTATAGGAGTTAATATAGAATTATTTTTTTAACCTTCTGAAGCATATAACTTAGCTTGGGGCCAGTAGATGACTTTTAGGACTTCTATGCATCCAAACTTTCCAGATTCGTTTTTAATTCCTTATTTGAAATTTTGTCCAAGGAGGATGACAAATTTCCTCATCTTCATGATGGGTCTTCATGTAGACAGATAAGCGAAGGCAGAGCTTTTGAGGAAGTTAGTTGTCCTCCAGGCATGAAAGCACAGATCTATTTTGCATACACTGAATCAGCAGTCAGCATATTGTTTACTGGGGCTGTTGGTCTTATACAAATACTCCACATTGTGGCCACCTATTGGTTTCCTCTGAATTTTTAGGGCACAAGCATACAGCCCTAATCATCTAAATTATGTCAAGGTCTTAAAAAGACTCCCAGAATGGGGAGACTCATTCTGTTGCTTTTTTAGATACCTAAATCAGATTGCAAGACTATCCCTAAATAAGTATCTTAAATTTATAAGATTAATTTTTCTTTTTTCATCTACTGCATAATTATATAATGAATAAAACTTTTGATATCAGTAATTGCAGGTAAGTCACATGGAAGGGAGGTTAACTACAGAAGTGAATTCTTCATCATTATCCAGCAAATTTCATACTCATTACATGGTATCATTACTCTGAACTAATATATTTTGCTACCTGTACAGAGACCACACTCCTGTAGTAATGAGTTTAATTGCCTGGCTTAGAATTTTTAACATCACTGTAATTGCTGATTACTCACACTGTTTAATAGACTATCAGTAAATTTTATATGTAACAAAAATTAAAGCTTTACATATTGGAAGTCTCAGGAATTGGCAAAAGAAATAACTATAGTCTGAGAAAAGTATTTAAGTTCTTGAAGCAGTGTTTTTCAAAACCAGCGCACTCTTCTATTTCTCCTTAAAGACCCAAATTCTGCCAGTATATGTCCTTTCTCAAGCCATATTTAGATCTCTCAGACTTTTTTTTTGCCTGTTTTAAAGTGACATGGAAACAGCACAATCCAGTCTCTTTCTAATAACTCTTACCTTGGGAGCCTTATTCACTTCTAACCAAAAGAGACTGGTGCACTGACTGGAATACAGATGGCACATATTTCTTCTTTGACAGAAATATAAAGCAAAGAGTCATAGCTGACCTAGAAATGCTCCTGACTTGAGAACTCTTTCCACCTGTCTTAAGGAATTGCGTTCAGCTCTGCTTACATCAAGAAGGGCTGGTTTGATATAAATACATTTTCTAAAGGAAGAAAAATTAGTCAAAGAGTGAAATATAAGGGGAACATTAGTATCTCCTGTAAAACTATCACCACATTCCAAATAAAAATGACCTTTTTTGGTTAACACCAATAGCATTTTGTTAGAGATTCACAACCCT